TGATGAAACCAAGAGAAGACCAAAATGGGGAACATCTTAGAGGGCCATCCATAACTTGACTTCCTGTGTCTTAAAAACTCTAGTTTTAGATCATGTTTTATGTATCTACAAAGTCCAGAAAGGCCTCATATCTGAACCTGATTTGGTAAGAACCATTTTTTGAGGAAACTGATGAAGAGGAATTTCAAGTCCTTAACATACCCACAAAGATATAAAAGATAGCAGTATCGCTTTCTTGCAAAACATTATTTAAGAGCAATTTATTATTGGAGTGTCTGGGCAGGCTGTCCAAGGGCAATGAGAAGTGCAGCCTCCACACAGGAGGCACAAGGAAAGTACGCAAAGACTTCTTGGTGCCCTCACACCAACTATCACTCCCATGTGTCCTGAGGTAACGGAGACTTCTTGGTGCCCTCACACCAACTATCACTCCCATGTGTCCTGAGGTAATGGAGACACTAGCCTTAGCTGTGAATTTTGTACCATGTTACAAAGAATTTCTAGAAATAGTATCTGAAGTATCTGAGCCATGCTTGAAGGCCCTCAGGCTGTTTGGTTCCTCCAGGCTCTGAGCCTGAAGTCTTTCTCTTTACTGCAGAAGCAATGTCACTGTCAAACTCTCTATGCAATATACAAGAACATTAGTGCCAGGTAGGAGTAACCAACTGTAAGAGCAGAAACCAACATGCCCAAAGGATCTTTAGCCTTTCTGCTGAAATTCCTAAAAGGCCTGGCAAGTAATAACATCTCCAGTAGAAAAAGTCAGGAACTGGCATCAGGGCAGAAAGTCATTTCACCTGAGGCATGGGGGAGCCACTGGATAGCTGAATTGCTTGGTCAGGGACATCCTTAAACTACTGCTGAAAAATTTCTACAACAAAGTATCATTCCTTTGAGGCCTCCTTTCTCCTTAGTTTTAGTTAATAGTGATTAACTAGGCTTGTAATGGTGTGATATGAGCCATCTGCAATTTCCCATAAAAGGGAGAAGGACCTAAGGCAGGATCTTGCTACATGTTACCTGCCTCAGTATTTCCACCTGCAGAGCCTTGTCACATGAGATCAATTTCAAGGGCACCTTCTGAAAGTTCAGGTTTTCAGTGAAGTGCCCTAGCAGGTCAGCTCTGTTTGTCAACGATCAAACACAAACTTGGCAAGTTATTTTACAGAAGCCTCTTAACACAGATATCTGCTATCAATTAAACCACCATAAAATCAAGGGTAATTTATATTTCTAAATGTCTACAAACACACTCTGCTTCTACTGAAGTTCAAATACAGCCATGTTTACACAAGAATTACTAATTGGTTGTAAAGGTCATGCCTTTTGAATATATGCATATTGGAGGTGAGACCTATTATACTGTGGTATTACACTTAGGCTCAGTGCTGAATTTAGATTAAATGGTGTTATATTGATTTGATAAACTGCTCAGATATGCTGAAAATTTAATTGAATGTATTAGAAGATGTTAATTCTAACAGACACACCCTTAAAAGTAGTAGCTTAGGGATCTGAACTGCTTTCTTGTACAGGCCTTTGCCAGTGTTCAAGAAAGAGAAAGAGGTATTTTAGAGTCCTTAATCTGAGCCTGTGTGTTAATAAATATCTAAGAAGAGGTTCTTTCTTTTCCTTTTCAATATGGATGACTGCCCTTTGAAAGCCAAACGGGAATTGATGTAATCTATTGATTGCCATTTAAATGCCTTTATCAGCTAATTAGTGCAAAATGTAAAATGTTTCTGAGCAGAAACAAGCAATAGCTAGGAAAACACAGGAAGGTTCCTTTGATTCTTACACATACCAGGAGGACAAATGCCCTTACATAGAGAGCCACCAACAAGTGAGGAGTGTGAATAGTGTCTGCTGTGAAACTGTTAAAACAAGCCAGCTCTGAGAGCAGTGTCACACTGACACTGTGCATGCCTGAAACAGCAATGGTGTATCTAGCTTAGCCTACATAGCTGGGAGAGCATCTACCCGGGAGACATTGTGACGTTTAGGGAAACCGCCAAGACTGTAAAATAGGTCACTAGCTGGAGTCTGCCCAGGTCTGAAGTGGCTGAAAGTCATCACCATCTGTTCATCTGAACTGAGGGACTGGCATGGGTCCAGTTTCAGGTACTCACAGGTATTCATTCTCTAAAAAAAGCCCTTCAAAAGTGACCCTATCTAGAAATGGGGTTGGCAGAAGGGAGTTATGACCTGAAGGCTCTAAAAGAGCTCCTTCTGGCACATGCAGACAAGAGGGTTGGGATTGGATGCTCACTTACGTGTCATCCCTTTACGATGCATCAGGAGGCAATTTTGCCTTTTTGTTTTCAGCCTGGAACCTTTCACTGGCCAACAGCAGCCACTCAGATCAATATCTGGCTAGCATCTTTGAGAAACATTTTAGCCCTGCAGCTCTAGGAAGATATATACTCATACAAGCTTCTTTATGGGATCTTGGAGAGACTGTCCTGTGTCTCCTGTGTGAAGCTATGGCCCAGCTTCAAAGCCAAATTACTGTTCTTGGTGCCTTACATGTGCTGACTGCTCACAGGTAATTCTCTCATCTCTAGGGAAGACCTATCTACCTCTGACATGCCACAGCCACAGTGCACATAAATAAGCATGGGGAACTAGTGTAAGCAAGGATTGCAGTAACTTGCTCATGCAGCTTTTCCTCAGTTGAAACTTCCTTTCTCACTGCGTAGATGACCCAAACCACACAGCCAACTGCTGCCTAAACTGGCTAAATGCTGGGGGGGAATGGGTGGAGGAGGATATTCCCCTTACACAAGGCATAAACATCACCCTGTACCCAGAACTCATGGCCTTTTCTGACTCAGAGCACAGTCACACCCACTGATGCTTTAGCAGCAGCGAGAAAAGAGCTGCCAAGGGAGAACAAGCCCCCCAAAACACAAAGAGGCTCAGTCTGTGCTGCAGGACCTCAGAAACCAAGAGTCCTCTAAGAGTTATTTCAAGTTTCAGCCACCATTACCATCTTATTAAGTAACTAATAAAGACTGTACAATAAAGTATTTATGTCAACATATACATTTAATTTAAGGCAAAGCTTTCGCCCTTTCCAAATCAACTGAAGAAGACTCTAATTACAATACTTTCATGGCTGCATCACTCCATTCAAATTAATTACTCTGCAAAAGTTAATACAACTGAAATTATGTTGTGTGCCTTGAGAACATTGAGGAGAAAGAATCATCACTTAGGGCCCATTTTTTTTCCCACTTGGCTCATCCAGCCTTGCTCCACACCACTGAGGCTCTGCTCTCCCCTGTTCCCATCCGACTCCTCCCCCAGCTTGATGGAACTGGCAGCTCCTGACAGATCAGCCTCATTTACAGCCCTGCTTTCCCCAGCAGCAGGAGAGAGTCACAGCTCATCTCAAGACTATTAACAGCACAACAAAGTATTCATACATTTGCCAGACTTTGTATCCTTTCATATGAAACACCCATTCCTTTGATCTCTCCTGGAGAAGGGATTTCCTTGTTGTGTCAAACTATTAAGGAAATGAAGAAACGCCCCCATACAATCCCTCCTTCTGCATTAACGGTAATGAGATACTCAAAAGGTACTTTTCCCCCCTAAGAACAGTATAGTGACTGTAAACAGCACTGATATTTCTAATCAAGTTGTGCTACCTCCTCTGACAGGTCCACTCACCTCATTTTCACAGTGCAGATAATACTGCCTTGGGCTGATAATTAAATGGAATAAAAACTTTTATACTCTAATGTCACCCGTACAAGGTCAGTGTTTATCTCACAGGATTTTAACACAAACCAAAGCTGTTGTAATGTACCAGCTACCAGAGTTAATTAAGAACCGCTGAGTATCTATTTTAATATAAAGGCATTACATGTAGGTAAGACTGAGTACAAAAGCTTCATAAAATACCTTTGCATTCACTTCCAGCTTCACATCAGTTGTGGGTGTGTGGTCACTTATTGAAATTTTAAGCAAATCCAAGGAGTCCTCAGTATTTATTTAAGGAACCCTCAGTATTTCATCAGCCTACAGCAGCAAGGGATTTTTTGTCTCCCTCCTCTCTCCTGCTTGCACCTGGCCAGCATGCATGACAGGCAGCAATTAGTCCTGCAGCACTGACCACTTTTCTATACAAAAAAATGTTGGTTTGAATGGCATCTGATTGGCACTGCTGAGAGAGAAGCAAGAGCTCCCTGAAAGGGTTGAGCATTTCAGTTTGTCCTTGGAAAAGCCAGAAGTAAGAGCTTTTCAGGACAACATTTTCAGAGATAAAAGTGGTCTGAGGTCATATTTAGAGTTCTTAATGTCCCCCACCAAACTCTCTGCAGTTAAGCTTGTGGCTTTGCAAAAGGAGAAAGAAAGGATGATCTTAAAAGTGTGTACTCCTCCCTACTCCCAAATATTGCAAAGCCAGCATTCCCCTAACCAAGGTTAGGGAATCACCAACGTTCTAGGGTACAAAAGTTTATCCCTGACTGCCTGATACAACCATAGCCAGATGCTGGTGAGCAATGAAGACACAGCAACAACATTGGCAGCAATCAATGCACCAACAGAAAGGAGCAGCAACACATGCCTCCCATCCCCCATTCATTCTGGCAAGTGAGCACCAATGTGGGATGGCATTACTGGCTGCCAGCTGGGCACGCAGAGCAAGTAGGTCAAGAGCATCACTCCTCACAAGAGTTTTCGTTGCTAAATATTGTGCTAATGACTGCATTATTGCTCATCAGACCGAGGTTCTGAAACTGGTGTTACAAAACCTTTCCCGTGATAGCAGAGGTCAGGTTTTCCATCTCGAGATGTTTCAGGTTCAGCCAACCCACTCATTTTTGATAAAACACCTTTTGATATTAAAATATGCACTCAGGCCTGTCCTGATTGCACAAAACAACTTTCACCAGAACAGCAATTACATCTGGGAAGAATTAAACAACTGAAAACCATAAATTAGGCATTTACAGTTAAGAAAAGCTCTAATGGAGATATAACAGACTTACTCGAAAGAATTCTTTGGTTGAGCCTGAATCCAAAGTGCCATAGGCTATTTCAGTTTGTTTAGCCAGGTCCTCTGCACTCTCTATGGGTGAGACCATCCTTTCCACCGTAAGGAAGGCAGCGAGATTAGCAGTGTAGGAAGAGATAATGATGAGAGTGAAGAACCACCAGACTCCTCCAACAATTCGCCCTGAGAGAGATCTATGGAAAAACACACATCATCAAATTGTTTTGAAGACATGATTTTTTTTTCTTCATTGAAAAGAAATTCACATGCACAACCCTTTTGTCCAGATTCTCCAGGTATCTGTGAACAGGTGGACTGTGAGACTGCTCCTGATAGCCTTCCTCAGGAGAGAAAACTTGGTGTTACCTAGTGAAACTCTACCTAGTGACAACAAAGACAGTCAAGTAAGAAATAATTCATTTGAGGCTTGGAGAGGAACAAGCTTTCCTGACTTCACAAATCCTTTGCTGGAGAAGGCTTTTGCCAGAGACTTTTGTCTTCTATCTATCTGTGCCCATCCTTTCCCAGTGCTGGACTTGTCTGCTGAGATATGCCAGCATCATGTCTCTTTGGGGGCTGCCCAGCTTGGAGGACACAAACACAGCTTTTACTGCATCGACTCCCAAAATGTAAGATACAGTAAACTGCAAAAAAGGAATCTGAGTAAACATGCAAAGGAATACACCAAAAACAATCCAGTATCCTTGTCTCATCACAACCTAGCAGGAATTACAGACTGAATCTGCATATTGAAGTGAGGAAAGAGACTGGTTTGGTTTATGTTTTATGTTAATTAAAAGTTGCATGTTGCAGTGTTCCAAGTCAAGCATATTCCTGCTTTATAACCACCAGAGCAATGGAGAAGAAACAGAACAAAAATTTAATTGTATTTTATTTTAGTTGCTGGTTTTGGTTTTTGATTTTTAAAGGGACCCTGTAAGGACTGAAAAAAAAGCCTGTTGGAAGTGTGTAATTACAAAATGCCTAATGGTCAGGAGGTCTAGATCCTATCAATAAGAGTACTTGGTGCTTTACAGCAATTGAACATCAGGCTCAAGGTATTTGTTCTAGGCTGAAGGATGCCAGTGCAACATCACTCAGCTGGGTGGGGATTTTCACTACCATGCACAGCACTTGTTCTTCAAACACAGTATGTTGACCAAGAATCATTTCAGGTGCTGAGATAACACTATTTCATATGTTTTCCTTTAACTCTACTGACACCAGTGCAGGAAGAATCAATCCCAGACACATCTGTGGAACCTGGGTGCTGTAGTCCTCAGTTTATATGCAGAGAAGAAATAGAAAGCAAGAAAACTCTTACCTGATTATTTGTTTCCTTCAAGCCCCTCAGTGCCATCCCCAGACAGTGGGTACAAGTTGTCCTACCAACAGATGGAGATAGCAAAAGTCTTGTGACGTGCCCCCACCCTACCCACACAGGGTGGGCTACTGGTAAACTGCCCAGCCTTGGCCAGAGCCTGAGATTGCCTGAGCCATTAAAAAAATCCCATTAAATTATTAAGGAAAACAAAAGAAAGAAAAAAATTATCCAACATTAAGGAACATACCAAAGAAAAAAAACCCACCAACACAATAAAAACAGAGATCAATCTGGAATAGGTGAGAGGAATGTGGAGAGAAAAATACAGAGGTCAAGCACTACTGTTCTCCACTATCCCCTGTCCAAGGAGCTGAAGCAGCAGCTCCCACCAAGAGGGCAGATGCAGGCTGGCTCCTCCGGGCAGGCACACACCTGCCAGATCACCCCCACACAGAGGAGGCTTCCCTGCCTTTCCTGAGGGCCTCCCAAGAGGATAAAAGACTTCCAATTTTCATCTCGGGCTGTGCAGCCACTGTACTCAGTACCAGAAGGTACTGAGTGACTGCAAAGGGAATTCGCAGAAATATAAATCCAGAATAATGCAGTAAGTCAAGGAATCTCTCTACATCATTCTACATTTTTTGTAGGTATCAGGTGAGCATCTTGAGATTTTACAGATGGCTGAAGTATTTTCTGGACAGCTCCCTTACTAGTTAAGAGTCTTGGGTTTAGCTATTTAGTAAAACATGATACCTTACACACTGAATCAGCCTCTTACATGGACTGATGCAATTCTAGCCAACTACAAAGCAGTGAACTCATCATGTAAGGCTTCCTTTGGAGCCAGCAGAGAAAAAGAGAGACAGACACCCCCTGAAAGAGATTTATCTCACTTGCTGTGGTGTGGGATAAATCTAAACGTGTTCATCTGTCTCATGACTTTGAAAGGAACCAAGATGCCTCACTAAACCCACAGCCTATTGCTTTCAGATGGCTATGTCACATGAAATTCATCTTCCTTTTGTTCCTTCCTTCACTACACACTTTCCATCTTCAGAGAAGACCTGGAGTTGAACTTTTCCTCCCTCTGTGGAGGGAGGTGGACAGTTTCAGAGCCAGATTGAGCAGGAGTTTGGCTAGCAGGTACAGCAGAGGAACCATCCACTTGCCTACAGCAGTACTAACCCTATCTGGAGTTTCCAGGTTTCCGTGGTCCTCTTGCTCTAAGGTAGGTCTTGAAAAAGGAGGAAGAAAATAAGACTTGCCAGGGTGTTTTGATAAATTCAGTGGAAGCATCAGGAATAAAATAGCACGTGTTCATTCTCCCTGTAGTTTCCCATAGGAAATGTCTTACTTGCATTGGTAGCTGCACCTTCTGTTAGCAGGACAGATGGCTTGCTGGGATGGATATGTGCAGAAGATAAGCATTTTCCAAACCAGTGAAACCTCAAGCTCACACTGCTGCAACAATAAAAGTCTGTGCTGGGCTGCACGCTCAGACAGCATCCTACACACTGAGAAAGGTAAAAATATCTCACACCAAAGATATTGCAACCTGTGTGAAGCAAGTCAGACAGATACAGGACGAAACTAAAGACCAGCTGAGAGGCAAGGGAAGGTGGGCATGGGGGGAATCCCTTGACGAAGAAGGCACTTCCTCAAGGGTCCTATGTACAAGAGAGGGGTCTTGTAGATGGGGACCAGAGCTGTCCTCAGAGGAGTTGAGGTCACTTGAAAGAAAATTGGATGTCACTAGGGTTATTTCTTCCAGAGTCTTCCAATGGGCACAGAAAGGGAGATCACTATGAAGCAGTCTGGGCAAACATAGCTGTCATTGGTGGTAGCACAGGATGGGGTAAAAGAAAAACTAAATAAACTACAAAGAAGACACTGAAGGAAAGACAGACAGAGAGTTGAAGAACAAGAACACAGACAAGCGTGGCCTGGCAGTCTCCTGGCCCAAAGGACCCCAGTTCCCCCCAGTCCATCTGCTGATACGAAGACTCCTTATACCCACTGCAGAGGCTGGTGTGGAGGAGAAAAAAGGGTTAGTACATGAATACCAGGGCTGGTAATCAGAGAATACCTGTATGGTTTGTACTGTGAACCACAGAAATGTTTATCCATTACTCAGATAATAATCAATCATGGCTTTTAATAACAGCACCACTTTTTCTGATGAAGACATACCTGTGTGCAGCATTGTAATTTCAACACCTAATGCTTTACCCCAACATGCAGTTTTCCAAATCATCTCAATAAACAGATACTTTATACAACATTGTTTTAAAGTCAATTGGAGTGCTAACAAATGAGAGACACAACACAGACCCGGAAGAACAGACTTATAACTCAATTGTCAAAACAAAGTCAGACGGTGTTTTCAAAAGCAAGTAAACAGGAAGAGTGCATACCTTGAGAGGAAATTTAAAAGGAAGCATGGAGTCAAATGAGAGCAAATTAGTAATGAGAGAAAAAACAAAATAAATATTCAAATTCACATTCAGTTTCCAGGAGAATAATACATTCAAACAAAACCTCATTTATCAAAATAGCTTGAATTTTGTTTCTGCTCATGGCCATAAAACATATTTGATTTCCTACAGTACGCAGAAATAATAGGCTTCTCACACTACTCAATTTTTAATTGGGCTGTTCTGGTCGATATAAGATGGTTGTTATACTGACAAGTAACCCTGAACAACTTTGGTGCAAACTCTTCTAGTGTAGAACTCTTTGATATTCTGAGCACATTACCTGGTACCCACCAAGCTGCCAGCCCAGCCCTCTCCTCACATGCCCAGCCAGCCCTTGACCTCCTGTGGCCAGGCAGCCCTTGTCTAAGCTACAGAGACAGAACACAGTCAATAACAGCATCCAAAGCACTGGCTTGAGATGCTTCCATCATAGGAATGGCAGTGGGAGTTTCAGAAACATCTAGCTACCCAGCTCTCATTGCTAGTGTGAAAGTCCCACAAAGTCATTCCCATGGCCTTTAATAGGAGTCTCTTGAGTCTTCTGCAGTGAAAACAGGGACCTAGAAATACACCCTCTAAATGACCAACCTCTTGAGATAGTTTTTAATGAACCCCCCGTCTTATTCCATCAGCAATTAATTAATCTAGCCTCTTTGTTCTACATGAATAAAGAGCAAAATGAAAATACATGTTCTCATAGAGATTTCAAAGATACTTTCGCTCAGAACAGTGTTACAAATTTGACTGTGTTTTTTCCTATTTCCATTTGCTGTACACATCTTACATAAAAGCAAGTTTAATAATCTACTTTTGATCCATCAAAAGTGAATTTTCAATGCTTTAGCTCACTATGCAGAAAACACAGCAGCCTTTGATAGCAGAACAAAACTGCCGAAATAAATGTTGATTCCATCAAGGGATGCACTAACCCCCATCCTTTGGCTGCTCTCTGATTCTGTGTAGACGACTCCTATTAAATACAGAGAGGAGAGTATAGGGATATATCCTCTGGAATATCCACACAGCATACTCACCGAGGATAGATCTAACTAGTCATTAGATGTCACAGCTGTTCCACACAAAGGCAGCTGAAAGAGCCTTTATCAGCAAGTACAAAAGTGATCTCTCCAGACTGCTTGTCGGCATCTCTCTACAAGTGCTGTACACTCTCATATAAGAAATTTATTCAGACAAAACTCACAATGGAAGAATGAAGCCCCTTTTAATGGCAATAAAATAGTATGAAACATTCATATAGTCAATGTACTGTGAATGGCGTAACCTTACAAAGATACAGATTAAGAATGGAATACTTGGGAATAGTCCCTTCTACGGAAAAGAAATCTGACATTTAATCAACTTAAATCAACATATCGGTCAAAGGAACAGTGTTTCTGGAATTTAAACCAAGTTATTGAATTTCTCTTTTTCTTTTCAGTAACAATGCATATAACTGCCTGGAATGTTATCATGGAAGATAACAAATAAACTGGACATCTTCAAACAAGGGCTATATATTAAAACTGAGCTAATAGCTTCTGATGGACAGATAAAATAAATAGGTATACTGCTGTCTCTTTTATTTTTTGTAGGTATTTCTGAGGCACTTATCATGGTAGTATTGGAAAGAGTATGTTCCACTTGTTATATAAGGTAAATGGCTGAACATGCCAAAAAGAGTCACATGAGAGCTTAACGAAAATCCTATGCACTTCTATTTAAC